AGCCGGCCAGTGAAACCAGCGGTGGTGAAGACACCACTGGACAGAGGGACAGGTAAGTGTATGTATTTTAAAAGTCAGCAACTACAGTTTGTGTAGCTGCTGACTTATTTTTTTTTTTTTCAGGTGGAACTCCGCTTTAAGTCAATGGGTGTATCTGCCCAGTACTCATAGACATGTTTTAGGTTAGGACCCTCCTGAACATTTTAGAATTGCTATGTGATGCTTCATCAGTCGTGTTTAATATTATCGATGTTGTATAAAAAAAAAACGTGGCCAAGTAATGCCTTAAGCAAGAAATAAATGTCCGTTAACCATTTGAGTAAATTTTAATATCTGTACAAATTGTCTATTATTTAGGAGGTCATTTTTTTCTAGGTGTCAGGTTTACACCAGATCAATAATACCACCTTTACCTTTTTCTTTATCCTCCCAAAGTTTTCTTGACTGCCATAAATGCCTGCCTTGATAGTGTCACTGTGGGCTGATATTGCAGTCAGTGTGAAATGAGCTGCAAATATACTTCAGAATCTGAAGAGAATTCAAATGCAATATTTGTCTATATTGTTTAAATCAGCAAAAACTTGTTTTTTTTTTTCTCTCTCTATATATGTACTGCCAGGGGGTTGAATTACAAAAAAAAAATAATAATCTGGTGCAACAGTGTGGTAGCCAATCAGCTTCTAACTTTGACTTGTTCAGTTAAAGTTTGGCAAAAATACTGGAAGCTGATTGGCTACCATACACAGCTGCAACTGATTTTGCACTCTTCCGTTTTAGTAAATCTACCCCTATGGATTTCATCACTAAAAAAATAGCTTAGTAAAGCCTAGTTAGAAGATACAGTATTTTTACATGTCTCAGTCCATCACATATCCCAAATTAAGAGGATTATGTCTTAATTCCTGGCAGTGGACAGAGCCATGTAAATCATTGCTTTACACCCCAATGACCAGGTGCACTCTAGGAACATCTGGTGTATAGTGCAAATATAGCCTAATATTATAGACATTTATTCCAAACTGCATACAGCTGTTTCAGGCTATTTGGTCATCATCATTGGCCACTCTTTTTATGACTGAAGAAAGGTATTGTGATCTTAAAAGAGTTTGCAGTCTTAGTAAACTATCCTGAGAGTAAAATATGAACATGTCTTATCTACTGTTATGTATCATAATAAAATATATATTTTAAGAGTACCTGTTATGTAGTAGATAGTTTTGTGGCCTAACTGGTATTCGCAGGAACACGGCTTTTTTTATTCCATAGAACGTAGTGACATCAGTGCAGGATGAGGATCACTGTGATGGATGTTGTACTGGTGTTACCAATTCCTCGGGAACAGGGTGACTATTTTATCAGTTCTGTGTCACGGCTGTGTGGAATTGACAGGTACTCTTCAGTATGTAAGCTATTGGTGCAGTTCTTGGTTCTAGTATTTAGTGGTGTTGTAATATTTCTAATGTTTGAACTGTTAGAGTCCGTCTATGATGTCCTCAATTACAGATGTTGGTACAATATATATCTGTTCTGATCATAATAATAAAAACAATGAAGTACTAGTGTGTGGTCACAGAGATGCCTCACATTTCTTCATATTCCAGATCCCTTTTTTCCAGAACATGTCTTTGCATTCAGACATACTGTACTAGGCTTCTATCAGCTGATGTTAATTTATTGTATTTCCTCTTTGTGTTCTTACAGTGTTTTGTAACATACTGTAAATCCCCCTTCTGTCTGAGGAATTTTATCACCCAATGGGTTATCAATGTGCCTTATACATATGAAAGGAACTTTTGTGTAAAGAAGTTCTAGTTGAATTGTTTTCAATAAAAGTGACCCTATGGAAGATATTATTTTGTGTTTTTATTCAAAGAAATATACAAAGAACAATTTTCAGAAGGTGAGTTAAAATTCCATTTAATAATCAGTGTATTTAATACAAAGCAGCACGGGACAGGCTCACAGAATACACACACTACCTGTTCTCACATAGTAGGATATAGAGTTAGTAGAGGCTGTTGCCAGGATTACTGGAAATACATAACTTGTGTGCTCCACCCAATACCCTGCAGTAGAAGGCACTTCACCATCTTTGTATCTACAGACAGACAGGTCTCATTTTCTTCAGTGATAAACGATGAGTCTGTCAGCTGAATTAGTTTACAGTTAGGGACTCACCCACAGTACCGTTTCTTGCAGATCACAATATTTGTTCTGAGATTTACACAGTGAATTGTTTCCTTAAAGTGATTCTAAAGGTTAATTTTTATTCTTTTTTTGAGTAATGAACATGTCATACTTGCCTGCGTTGAGCAAAGGTTCTGTACAGACCAGCCCTGATCCTCTTCTGGGGTCCCACACCAGCGCTCCTGGCCCCTCCCCCCGCTAAGTGCCCCCAGAGCAAGCTGCTGGCTTTGGGAGCACTCGTTTGTGCTCACTCTCGAGCCTCGCTCTGTGTGTCCCTGCACCCCCTCCCCCCTGACTGTGATTGACAGCAGTGGTAGCCAATGGCTCCTGCTGCTGTCTCTGAGCCATTGAGGAGAAAGAGAGCAGCTGCTTTTGTGTACATCACTGGATCAAGATCAAGCTAAGGTAAGTATAAGGAGGATCTTAGACTTGAAGGTTCTTTACCGTCATAGAATGCATGAAAGTAACAAACCTTCAGCCTTTAAAACCACTTTAAGGCTTGACTCCCAGCAATGTACTTTTATGCACGTGGATGCGCTGCAATGCCATTCATTTTGCCTCACACCTACCAAATGCATCTGTATTGCAGTGCAAAACTCAGTAACACGCTACCGTGAATGGTTCTCTTAAGGCTTGATGGGAAGTCCAAAATTTTACAGTTCTCACCAGAACAAGAGGTTAGGGAAAATCTTGCAATAGGGACATCTGTTCCAGTGACAGCTCTTCAAAAGAGACAGTCCAAAGAGATTTTCTTTCACTTCCTGTTGCCTCTCTGGGACAGGAAGTGGAAACAAATCTCCCCCACACAATGGGATTGGAAGCAAAGCAAATTTCCCAAATGGGACACAGGCAGCAAAAATAAACTGGCAGGATTTGAAACCATCCCCTACTCAAACCAAACTCAAATAAAAAGTTTTGGTTACATATACTTGTATGTTTTTGTCTATTATACTGACTCAGATTTGTTGTTGTACAATACAAGCACTTTGGAGGTTATGGATGCTGGTCAGCACACAGAAAACAGTACATGTCATGTGAAGTCAGAAATTACTAATACCAAATCTATGATTTCACAATTTTACACATCAACGATAACTAGTGTGCATTGTACACAGTATGTGACGTTTATTAAATTCAACTATCAGTAATAATATAACTGCAGCTCACTAGCACTTGCTGTATACAATAATAATTATATTCTCTAGAAGTGACATTTTCTAAGAAAATACAAAAGGCTTTTCTAACATTTCCTATTAAAATTAACCCATGTACAGTACCTGATGATAACATATGACTCAGGCAGGAAAAAAAGGAACACACCTATTAGACCTCATTGACACTAGCAATGACATACATTCCTTTATATGAAATGTATAGGATATTTCTAAGCACATATAAATGCATGTAATGATTTGAAATTATATAATACTGTGCGTTTAAGTGCATTCTGTTTAGCTGCATTTAGTGAAATTAGAATTCTGAGTATACTCTGAACTTGACTAAACACATGTAAAACACAAGTACATCTGAACACAGGAAAACTTGATCTGGTAGACAGTTCTTTTATATACTTCTCAATTAATTTCTCCAGCATTTAAAAAATGCACCAAATACAGGGAACTAGTGTGAATTTAGCCTTAGTGACAATTTTTTTCCTGAAAGACAACTAGAAACTGTGTTTTGTTTTTTTGTAAAGCACAGAAATTGCCCATATGTCTGAGTCCCACCCATGGGGTATACTGTTCTAAAGCATAACCTCCTCTTCTATCCTATAGAGATGGCATACCTCCAGAACTTGGGCACAAGACGGTGGAAGCCTATGTGAGAGAAAGGTGTATGGACTGGAGGGGGCTGTCAGGCTGGTCATTACTTACTTATGAGCCAGCATGAATACAGGCCCCACACCAGGCCTTCATCTTGCATACACTACTAGTCCCTTATATTATTATCTAGTATCAGAAGTATGCAAACACCGTGCTCTACAGGCCACTGGATGGCAAAGTTTCTGCTTGAAAAAGACACACGATTAGAATGAAATGTTGGCAGCCTCTGCTACCTGGTACAGGAACACCATTTGATTCAAACTTGTAATAACTAGGTTTAGACATTGTTCATGGCATAAAATACATTGCCCAGAAAAAAAACAATTAAGATTTTATTCTTTCATTTTCTAATTTTTGCTGGTAAAATGAGATCAGGAATCACATTAGCTTCCATGAGCATCTTTGAGATTTCCTACTAAGCTACACAAATTTTAAGGCAGTAAATACTGACATTTTTCAGCACCTAAAGGTTCAATCCGACAAGTAGGCAACCAGTGCTTTAGCAAATCTGGTTTAGTTTGAGCTGTTTGGCATTCAAAATGGTCATACAACTTCAGGATGACTTGAGTAATTAGATCATTGAACGCCAGCATCTATACTACCATTGGTGTTGACCTGCAAACACGAACACTTTGCAATAACTGGCAAAATAATTAACATATTACGTGAAAAGTTTCATTAAATTCAACAATATGGTTATGCTTACCAATGATTTATGATAGACAGGGGTACAGAAAATTCAGTCTTGTGCAAGTTGATTGATCGTAGGGAAATCTACTTTATATTAGTGTTTTATGAAGTTTGGTGACATTCAGATACTGCAGTAAAACACTCTGTTACAGCACAATCCTAGTATTAGCAAATATGGGAGACGCACCAGGAGATAAAACAGACTCTAAAACATACTGCTAATAATTTTGTGCAGGTTTTATTAGGTAGGAGCCAGATGGGTTTACGGACAGAAGTGTTGTGTCTAGTTTACTGAGCTTCTCAGTCATCAGAACCATGAAAGCGAGGCTTGATATATTCTTTGTACATGGAATATATTACACCTAAAGCAGAAGAGAAAATCAAATGAGATACAAATAATGAAGGTTTCAGCTCTACAGTGTACATCCTGACATAGGTGTGCCAGGGCGCACCCTAATCACCCCTGCGCATTAGCACTCTGTGCCAGCAGGGAGATTATTATTATTACAGGTACTTATAGCGCCATCAATTTATGTAGCACTTTACATATACACACATATTTTATAAATGTGTACATATATATATATATATATATATATATACACACACACACACACACACACACACACACACACACACACACACATACATATATATATATACACACACACATATACACATATATATATACATATATATATATATATACATATACACAGACACACACACATACACACACTTGTGTATACATGACACACACTAATACCTCCATTTACAAATTTAATTCGTTCTACAGAACTTTTCGTATAGCAAAAAATTTGTAAACCGAATTGCTGTTTCCCATAGGAATGCATTGATAACCAATTAATCTGTTCTGGAGGTCAGAAAAAAGTAAGAGCTACTAAAATACCACATTAATTATTTTAGCAAGTCATGCGGTATTTTAGTAGTGACAACCATGTGTTAATGTTTTAGCTGTCAGTGGGGTTCCTCACTGACAGCTGAATGTAAAAGAACTGGTATGGATTTTGAGGGGAACTCCCATGCCAAAATTAAAATAAATTAATAAATAAATAAATGGCGTGGGGGTCTCCCCCAAAATCCATGCCAGACCCTTTACCGAGCATGCAGCCCGGCAGGTCAGGAAAGGAAGTGGACAAGGGCCTCTTCCCAAAAACCCAGGCTGGTGGTTGCGGGGGTTTGCAGGCCTTATCAGAATCTGGAAGCCCCCTTTATCAAGGGTACATGGTACTCATTCACAAAAAAACAAAGTGTAGCATCTTTGACAAGCCTTTATTAAAAGAAAAAAAAAACTAAAAGCCACAGTAAAATCAAAAAAAAAAAAAAAAAAAAAAGAAGGTTCAGTTCCTGACGATGGCTTCCAGCCCTCTGCCTCTGAGCTGGCTTGACAGTTCTTTAATATGTAAGGGGCGGAGCCACCCAGAGACATCACTCATGACCCTGCCCCATGTGACATCATGTCCTGTAATACTTATATACTGCTGTAGCTCTTAGTTCCTAAAAGTCATGCACTGAGAACAGGGAACAGTTCAGAGATGGCAGATACTGCGACTATCTTCTCAATCTTACATAGTTAGTCTGGCTGAAAAAAGACAAAAGTCCATCTAGTTCAACGAAAAAAAAAAAAAAGTTATAATCCTATACCTTCCATTGAGCCAGAGGAATGTAAAAAAAACCCAGCAAACCATGATCCAATTTGCTCCTGAAGGGGAAAAAATTCCTTCCCGATCCCCCGAGAGGTAATTGGATATTCCCTGGATCAACTTTACCTATAAAATGTTATATTGTGATCTGATTATCCACACAAGCACAAAACTGTGCCTTCCATTGGACAGGAGAAATAACTTACCAAAGGTCATGGCACCGACCACAAATCCTTGTGCACCAACTCTCATGTGAATGAGATGCACCGACATCTTTTGGTCCCCGCGGCTACGCAGCTTGTAGAGGCCATAAGCCACCACTCCAAGGAAGCCAGCCATTCCTACAAGAGAAAATAAAATGTGTATCACTTTCACATTCCAATCAAAACGTAATGTATTAGTACTAGGAAGAGTTAGAACCTCTGTTAGGTTTTCTAATGCCTACTGTGGGTCTCACCCCGACAGATTTCTGATCATTTCCTGTCTTCATGACATTGGGATAGAAGTGAAGGGAAGACTGTACATTCACTGAAAACAATACAGCACGTTTTCTGAATGGAAGAGATCCTAAGCGAGCAACACCCTGTGTTCAGCTTACTACACAGGAAGTAATTCCTGCACCACCATAGTTATTTAGTTAGTCTGGCTGAAAAAAGACAAAAGTCCATCCAGTTCAACCAGAAAAAAAAAAATCCTAAAATTATAATCCTACACACACAGTTGATCCAGAGAAAGGCAAAAACCCAGCAAAGCATGGTCCAATTTGCTCCTGCAGGGGAAGAAATTCCTTCCTGATCCCCCGAGAGGCAATCGGATATTCCCTGGATCAATCTTACCTATAAATGTTAGTATCCAGTTATATTCTGTGTATACCACCAGAAGAGAAAAGGTCTTCCCGTATGTGACACAGACTACTACGGTGATTTTCACACTCCCCTGTAGCTCTCCAGTTGTGGCATCTCATTAATTCCAGGTAATCAAGCTGACCCAATGTATTTTTTAAAAATAGATTATACCTGGAGCTCTTCATTAAACTATTGTTTCTAAACCTAACCTTACTGCTATCACAAGGGGCTGACATGCCCCTATATGACAGCACAGTGCAGGTGACAGGTTCTCTTAAAAGGAGACATCAGGGGTCTATAAAGGCTCATTGACACATGAGGTTGGGAGGGTGGTAAAACATTGCAGTTGAGTCGTGCTTCTCCTCAACTGCTATCCCTTTAGTTGCAGAGGCAGTGGCTGGGGGCATACACATGGCGCAATGCACACAGTTGTGGCGTGCTAGATTAAGAGGTTAAAGTAAATGGTGAGGCGGCGATACAATGCCTCCTCACCGCCTGTCAAATGCTCTCTTAAGAGCGATCCGAACACTGATCACTCTTCAAAGAGCACCGTTAATGTGAACAAGCCCCTATATGATGCCACTTCTGCGCTCTGTTGTAGGTAGTCCAGTAAAGGCTGTACTAGATTAGCTTTTGCCCTGGCCAGAGCAGCTGGGGTTTGACAGATCCGAACCCAGAAGTGCTCAGAGCTGAGCGCTTCTGGTCCATACTAACCAGGAGAGATCAGTGAACACACTGTTCTTACTCCAGAGACCTGCCATGATGGTCCAGATCTCCCAAGAGGGACAGCTAAACCCAGGCCACATGGGAACGGTGCAGGGGCGGACTGACCATTTGGAAACTCGGGCACTGCCTGAGGGCCCGGGGTCAGTAGTCGGTATGAGATGCCCCTGGTACCTTTTTCATAGGTTTTTTTTGAGTTTGGGCAAGGACACAGGGGCTCCATGATCCCCTATTGCCCAGGGGCCCCATGAGTTATCAGTCCACCCCTGGAAGGGTGTCAGGTAGATGATGGGGGGGTGTCATGTTCCCAAACATGTAGAAAGGATCGGGTTGCTGGAATCACTACTACTACTAGACAGCAGAAAAAGGTAAACAAACTCCTGGCTGTTATAACTACTATGGCAGCAGCAAAAGGGTTAAGCCTGCTTCCTTCAATACAAACCTACTAGAGGTTCTAACCCTCCCCTGCTCTATCCAGCACACAACTGGGCTTTATGATAGTATTGCAGACAGTGGCTTTGCGAAGGCCGTTGTGTCACAACCTCGGACACCACTCAGGACAGGGTTCTTCTATATATGATACAACCTTTTACATTTCAGTTTATACCATGCTGTTTTTAACTACTAGAACATTTTAAACATACACTATCATGTAACTAGATTTAGGTGATCAAAAAGACAAAATACACATTGGGGACCCATTTGTTATTTGTACTCTCCTTCTCAGGAGTCCGTAATGCTCTAAAGTTCCAAGTCACTCATGAGCAACATACAGAATCATTGCTTGTGTGTGGGAGATAACATCATGGTCACTGAGGGGATGTTACTAAATTCTTTTAATAAATACAGAAGACATGTTTCCTTGCTTTAGGTCCATGCCTACAGACAAGAAGGAAATCAACACTTTCAAGGGAAAATCAGTTACAGGACTTGGAGCCTTTATGCCGGGAGAAGGGATTACATAAATACACAGGTAAAGCAGAAAACCAGTGTAAATATGTACAGTATGTAGACATGTCTTTAGGACAGCAGCACAGCGGCTTAGTGGTTAGCACATCTGCCTTGCAGCACTGGGGTCCTCAGTTTGTATCCCAGGCAGAACACTAATGGGATAACTGCATGGAGTTTGTAAGTTCCCCCTTTGCTTTGTGATGAGAAAACAGCGAGCGCTCAGGATTCCAATAGGGTCAGCAGCATGTGCACTAAAAAGGAACCCAAAGACCTTATATAATACATATAAAAACAATAAGTGCAGCACTAAAAAATTAATATATAAATTATATACAAAAAAAATATATTTGATAATGGTGGTTCAAATAAAGAAACACAAAGTGATAAATAGAAAGTGCTTCGTTATGATAAGCGCAAATAATTGCATGCAAAGTCAATAAACAGAACAAATGTTCATATACGACACCAGTCAGAGAATTGTGCCGCATAGAGATCCTGTTGCACAGGTGATATCAAAGGATTTCCCCCTTTGCTTGCATGCCTTTCCTCTGGGTACTGTGGTTCCTCCCACACTCCAAAGATATGCTGATAGGTTAACTGTCTCCTTTCCAAATTGGCCCTAGTATGTGTATATATGTCTCATAGGGACCCAAGATTGTAAGCTCCTTGAGGGCCGGGACTGATGTGAATGTACAATATGTAAAGCACTGCAAAAATTGTTGGAGCCATGTAAATACCTTCAATAATAAGTACAGTTCACCTTTTTGCACTAAATATTTATGTCAAGTGGTTCTTCACATAGACCTGAAATAAATTCATATCATTCTGATAATGCTTCTGGCTACACATTTTGTAATCTGTTGTCACTCAGCAGTCACTAACAGTTCCTATGATAACTTGATGTCACGTGGTGGGTAGACTGAAACCAGCTCCTATACAGATAGCAAAGCTATTTTAATACAATCAACAGCGATGGCATTCAGTACAATATATTGTAGTCCCAGTCCAGTGTCCTCACCTGCCCTTTCTGTAATATGCTGCATGAGGTTATATTATAGAATATAATATACACACACTCACTCTATATTGCCAAAAGTATTATGACACCCCAACAAATCATTGGATTCAGGTGTTCCAATCACCTCCATGGCCACAGGTGTATAAAATCAAGCACCTAGGCATGCAGACTGCTTCTATAGACATTTGTGAAAGAATGGGTCGCTCTCTCAGGAGCTCAGTGATTTCAAGCGTAATACCGCGATAGGTTGCCACCTGTGCAATAAGTCCATATGTGACATTTCCTTGCTACTAAATATTCCACAGTCACCTGTTAGTGGTATTATAACAAAGTGGAAGAAACTGGGAACAACAGCAACTCAGCCACGAAGTGATAGGCCACGTAACATGACAGAGAGGGGTCAGCAAATACTGAAGCCCACAGTGCGCAGAAGTCGCCAACTGTCTGCAGAGTCAATAGCTAAAGACCTCCAAACTTCATGTGGCCTTCAGATTAGCACAACAGTGTGTAGAGAGCTTCATGGAATGGGATTCAATGGCCGAGCAGCTGCATCCAAGCCTTACAGCACCAAGTGCAATGCAAAGCATCAGAAGCCGTGCACACCACCAGTTTCAGCTGCTTTGGCGTTAATGAAATTAACAAAAGGTACACTAGATGGGCAACAATGAGACAACCCCCAAAACAGGAATGGTTTTACAGGTGGAGGCCACAGACATTTGGCTAGGGTCAGTGTCACTACTGGTAGCATGAGGCGATACCTGGACCCTACAGAGGTTGCACAGGCAGTCCAACTCTTCCAGGATGGCACATCAATACTTGCCATTGCCAGAAAGTTTGCAGTGTCTCCCAGCATAGTCTCAAGAGCATGGAGGAGATTCCAGGAGACAGGCAATTACTCTAGGAGAGCTAGACAGTGCTGTAGAAGGTCCTTAACCCATCGGTAGGACCCGTATCTGCTCCTTTGTGCAAGGAGGAGCGGGATGAGCACTGCCAGAGCCCTACAAAATGACCTCCAGCAGGCCACTGGTGTGAACGTCTCTGACCAAACAATCACAAACAGACTTCGTGGAGGGTGGCCTGAGAGCCCAACATCCTCTAGTGGGCCCTGTGCTCACTGCCCGGCACCATAGAGATTGATTGGCGTTTGCCATTGAACACCAAAATTGGCAAGTCCACCACTGGTGCACTGTGCTTTTTACAGATGACAGCAGGTTCACCCTGAGCACATGTGACAGATGTAAAAAGGTCTGGAGAACGTTATGCTGCCTGTAACATCATTTAGCATGACCATTTTGGTGGTGGATCAGTGATGGTCTGGGGAAGCATATCCATGGAGGGATGCACAGACCTCTACAGGCTAGACAATGGCACCCTGACTGCCATTAGGTATCGGCATTAAATCCTTGGACCCATTGTCAGACCCTACGCTGGTGCAGTGGGTCCTGGGTTCCTCCTGGTGCACAACATTGCCAGGCCTCATGTGGTGAGAGTATGCAGGCAGTTCCTGGAGGATGAAGGAATTGATACCACTGAATGGACCCCACGCTCGCCTGAAATACCCCAGGACACCATCTGTCATTTCATTAGAAGCATACCCCGATGTTGTCAGGCATGCATACAAGCACGTGCCATACAAACTACTGAGTACCATTTTGAGTTGCTGCAATGAAATTTCAGCAAAATGGACTAGCCTGCTGCATAATTTTTTCACTTTTGATTTTCAGGGTGTCTTTGAATTCAGTCCTCTGTAGGTTGATAACTTTATTTTCCATCAAACGATGGGGCATCCTTACGTTCCTAAC